GTAGGGAAATCCAGAGAGAAGACCAGCCCACTCATTCAACACACCTTTGGAAAGCACTGCCTAGTGAGCACCTCAGGGCAGCAGCAGCAGAGCCTCTGTTGCTCTCGGGCATCCGACTATGTGGTTTTTCAGGAGAAGGCTTCCTAAAATTCCCAGAGCCCTTATCTGGCTCATTGTTTTAACACACTTTTGCATCTTCATTGCTAATTTCAGCTCCTTGTTTGGCTTGTTGAAGACAAGGGTTTTCAGGTAAGAGACCTGCTTCCTTGTGATATGCACTGTCTGGATAGAGTGCTTGTGCTCGCTTTCTGTCTCTCCCTCTGTCTCTGTCTTTTTACTCTGAAACTTGCACTTCTGATCGGAGTTAGATGACCACTTTGCTTTAGCAGAGCATGTTGTGTACAATCAAAGCACAGTGCTGGAAGATCCACAGTCGAAAACTTGCTTCTGCTGGATCACTAGTTTCCAGTGTTTCCTTGCACAGCTGTTTAAGAAAGCAGCTTTTGTTTTATTGATGCTACCTGTTTTCATACTTGGCACTACACAGTATTTGCTTTTCCTTGTGGCTCCTAGAAGGACCTCACTCAGCCGTAGTCCAGACTGCGTTGCTGGACACTGAATTTGGTGGGATACCTTCAAATTTACAGCAAGTTCAACATCTGATTCCTAATATAAATATTCTGCATACTGGGAGACCAACGTTATGCACACATGATCAATGTATTTTTTTATATAACTGGTCAAGTAAATCCTACAAGAATGGGTGTGGAGGGAATTGCAGTGTAGACTGCAGTAAAATGTCTCCAGAATCGTTGGCAGGTAAACCATGCATGAGCACAGCAGATACCTGAGCCTTTTCTGCTACAAGCGTGGCTTGCTTATGTGTTGGTGCCCTATGCTGTGTATAGGAAACACCACTCCCCACCTCCCCACCAGTCCTCATATGGTCCCAGCTCTCCTGATGAGCTCATCTGGCTTGCCTTGGTGGGGTTAGTTTTCAGCTGGACCTCTCAGGGCTGATGCTGTGGGGGCAGGCAGGAGGGGTGAGGCTGGGAACACCTAGATCTCTTCTGGAGATGGCATGAGTTTAGCTCAGCTGCACTGACTTGAGACCACATCTTGAGGACAGCTATCAATTAGGAGAGGTCAGAATCTGCACAAGCGAGGCTGGGAGAAGGAAAAGGTGGAGAGAAGTGAAGTGAGTTGTTCTCTATCACAGAGCCTGTCAGTGGAAGAGCTGGGACAGGAACTGGCTCTTTACACCTAGCTGCTTGAAGCCATTTCATTCTGCTGGGGTTTCAGATAATGGAAGTGTCCATATTTTTGCAACTTAAGTAAAACACAACTAGGCATGAGCTGTATGTGGTTATCTGTGTGTCAGGTCTCTTTCTGTACCTTTATATGCAATGTAAAATATACAAAGCAGCATTTTCATGGCTTTATCCTCTCTTTGTCCTAGGGCTTTGTAAATGGAGAGGAAAAAAACAGTAAATATCATTGAGCTTCTGCAGTTGTTTGCCATCTGAACTCTAGATCCTTAAATGTGATGAGTTGCTTTGACCAACTGTCTGGATTTAAAATGCTGGTCAGGAAAGCAGGGACCTGTGTAGGCACAAGTGCGTGGCCATGTGGGTCTGACTGCAGGGGGTAAGGTTTTGGATGTGAAGGGCCCTCAGTTTTACATTTTGGTCTCTGTATGTTTGGCATGGTATTTGAAATTGAAGTGTAATAGAGCTGGGATGGAATCTGTGCCCTGAGAGACTGCAAGTATGGAAAGTCTTGGTTGGGGGGTGGTTTGTCGTATTGTCCTGTTGCATTTGTTCTTTGCCCTTTAATTTCAAAATTTTAAACATCATCTTAAAAATACAACAGAAAATCATCCAGGGATTTAAGATCTGCCTGAGCTACCTTACCAAATGTCTCCTTACTTAGGGTGTATACATAAAATCTTTCCTCTTATTAGGCAGTAAACAGTAACACAAGTTTCTACATGAAGCACTATGATAGAAAGCAACTGCCGCATACTTGGTTGAAACTGGCTAATGATTATCAGGGGAGGTAGAGGAAAAGGTGATAGGCCATTTACCACAGCCTCTTTTTCTTAGAAACAGCTTTGGAAAGGTTCAAGTATTTATCTGATACAAAATGATTTTTAAAAGCCTCCTTAGTTGTAATTTCCTAATCACTTTAATGAATGCCATACCACTCTGAAGCTTCAGCAGCGATTGAACTGTTATCTACAGCCTACTACCTGCAGAGGTGCCTTTTTCCCCCCCATTTATTGCCTCGGAAAAAATCCACAGCTCTGAAACAAATGCATCATGCAAAGGGTGAACATGAGTGTGAAATCAGGCTGCCACAACTATGCTGGTTTATCCTGAAAAGCTTTGCCATACATAAAAGCTCAGCTGCAGAAATGTTTCACTTTCCTCTTTCCTGTTCCACCCTCCAGCCATGTGCAGATAAGAACAAATGTTTGGGACAAAACCCCACCACTTCTGCCTTGATTTTTTTTTTTTCCTGGGTTTCAGCGCAGTCTTGTTGCAGGTGGTGGTTCTGCTGTTGGCAGCTGTATCCTCCTATGATATCCTTGTACCTGCCTGTGCCTCTGAATCAGGCAACAGGGCAGCTGCAATAGTAGAGGCGATTGCTAAAAATGCAGATATGTTACATTTTTAAGCTTCAGAGTGTATTTTAATAGCTTCAGAGTGCCTGTCTTAATATGTGTACCTGGCTAGTGCAGTGTGATGCCATTGCATTAGCTGGCTAAGGGGGAGGAGGAGAGGAAAAAGTGCCTTGTGGCCCCAAATGCTCAAGAAGTGATGTATGGTAAAAGAGTGAGTTTCACTTCTTATTAGACTTCCCTGACTGAATTCTGGAAGATCTTCATGCTCTGTTGCTGAAGCACTTGTCTCTGCTGGCAAAGAAGAGATCCAGATGGCTCCCTTCATGGTGTGTCCTGTGTCCTGAATTCAGGATCTCCAAAACAGTCCTGCGGTGCTCTGGGGACATTGCCAGGGGTCCTGCCCGGTGCAGGGCAAAGCTGTTCTGTGCTGATTTGCAGTTACTGCCAAGTGCAGAAGAGGAGTGTGTAACCTCTGGGATTTGTTTAGTGGAGAGATAAGCAGTAATCAGGCCAGAATGGTGTGGGAAGTTGAAAAGTGAAATTGAATTCATCCAGTATCCTGCAGAAACTCAGTGGCAGTTGCCAAGGAAAGTCATCTGAGTGTGGTGGTCATATGCAGTGGTTGCTGTGAAGCACAGAGAGGGGCTCAGAGTCAAGAGCACTAGAAATGGGCTGGAAGGTGTTCAATGTTAAGTGGAAAGTGTGTGTGATGTGTCTGCTTTTTCTTTGATTGCATTCAGGCAAGTGAACATTTTCCAACTTGCCCCAGATACACTACAGGTGGACACCAAAGAGCAACAGGGTTTAAACTATTCTGATAATGGGAACTCAAAGAGCTTTTTAAAGGTGGCTTTGGAGAGAGACATCACAAGGCTTGAACAAGATACCGTTAAGGGGACACCAAGATGGGAAGGAAAGGAGGAGCAGAAGAAAATGACGAAACCAGTTGCCAGGGTGCAGGAAGCCAAGGAGAACATGGCTGTGAAACCACCCCCCAAGTTGGAGGGAATCAAGAAGACAACAGTGGAAACAGCCCCTAGGGTGCAGGGAAACAAGGAGAAACAAGTAAGACCAGCCCCAGGGGTGGAAGAAGCCAAGGAAAAGACAATAGTGAAACCACTTCCCAGGGTAGAGGGAGTCAAGGAGAAGGAAACAGTGAAACCATCCTCTGGGGTGAAGGGAGCTCATGAAAACAACATATCCAAAGACCAAACAAAGCCAAAAGACCCTCCTGCATCAGTGAAAACTGTAAGACCTGTTCCTCAGGCTGCTGCAGTGACAGAAAAGAAGAAACTGAGGGCTGCTGACTTCAAGTCTGAGCCACGGTGGGATTTTGAGGACAAGTACCTGCTGGACAGCTCATCTCCACCATCGGTAGGTGTGATGGCCATGTGTGTGTTTGCCAAGAATGATGGATGCCTCCCTGGTGATCTCCTTGTCTGCTGTCCACTGGGCATGTGTGCCCTTCGTGGTTGAGGATGATCTCCAAGCTGGTAGGTCAACTTGCTGGTATATGCACATGCTGCTGGGAGCCAGAGAGGGAGACCTATATGTACGACTCAGCCTGGCCAGTCCTCCACCATGCTCCACTATGGGAACTTACTGCAATTGCACGCATTTTCATGGGTGGAAGTTTGAAAGGAACTTTGGAAGTCAGCCTGAGCAGCCCTTTCTGGAGCTTAGGTGCATCAGAAGCTGGGGAAAATATCTTTCCTTCGAGATGTGCTACGAGGTGATCCCACTCTTAGGTGCCTTGATATATAGAATCATAGAATCGTTTAGGTTAGAAAAGACCTTTA